AAAAAAAAATTGTCTTTTATTTTATTTGAATCGCAAAGTCGGCATTTTCAAGGGTTTAAAAGAGGATTGTCCACCGTAGCCAACTCACTTCCTCTTTGTTTGCCACCCTCCCATCTCCCTAATAAATCCACCCCAGAGCATCTGGTTCCTGAAATCGAAACGTATCTAAAGTCTGACATACTTTTCATTAAATGATAATTGATTCGATTTTAGCAAGATTAAAATGAATTCCGATTGTAGGTAATAGGAATTCTTTTTTCCATGACGTTGTTTGGATGTATTTTTTATTAATTTTATTTTGTTTCGGACCTGTTAGGTTAATGTAAATTTCAATTTCAAATTATCAAATTATATATATATATATATATATATATATATATATATATATATATATATATATATATATATATATATATATATATATATCGTGTGTAGTCCAACATTAGTCCTTACTTCGTTTTTGTAACTAGTGTGATTCTAATGTAATTGCACGATAATCGTGTATTGCTTAAATAGTGCGTAATGGAACTTATACTAAGTTAAAACTTAATCATTTTATTCTCCCACCTAACTTTAATCTACAAACCTTTTTACTCGCAAACAGATTGGGGGACTCTCTTTACTAGATATATATACATACACACACACACACATACACACACACATATATATATATATATGTGTGTGTGTGTGTATGTATATATATATATATATATATGTATATCTATAAATATATATATATATATATGTATATATATATATATATATATATATATATATATATATATATATATATATATATATATATATATATATTTATTTATGTATGCATATATATATATATATATATATATCACCTTCTTGGAGAAATAAAATATAATCAATGAATCTTAAGATTATCTGATTATCTGTTTTATATATATAATATATATATATATATATATATATATATATATATATATATATATATATATATATATATATATTGGCTATTATTCCACAGTCTGATTTCGGCAACTAAAATTGCTATTGAGACGGCTTGTTAGCGGTCCGAGTTTACGTGACAGTGAAGCTGAATTTTTCAACACTTGACATGTTTGCAACACACTGACGGGTGTTGAAATCCTTACGGTGTTTTGTATTGTTTAAGTTTCGATACCATATTTTGAGATTTACAAACTCTACGTATTGCTCAATTTCGCATACCAATCGTTAAAATTAGAATACATTGAACTCTTTAGACGATAAATTGACAAAATCCTTACTTGATAATTTTTGCGCACCCGAATAAAGCGACCGTATTTTTACCCATTTATTTGTTTCCACTTCTCCCCAAAATTTGGTTTCGATCTGTCAATATATGGCTAATTTAGGTTATGTGACGGAAAGGCGCACTAACGGATGTCACATAATTTTATTTTTGAAAAAAGCGTACATTTCACCCGAATTAAAAAAAAAATACTTCCTAAATTTGCGGAAAGAAAGTCTGGAATCAGAATCAGAATTGCATCCAAAAAAAAAAAAAAATCGCGTGTATTTTGCATTAATGCAATATGGGAACAAGAAGGCAACCCCCACGACCTACGGAGGAAAAGATTTAACTAGGTTCCATTATGGTGAATGTAATAAAGAACATTGCATGTACTAGGCTGACAAAATGCTATGAAAATCCCGTCCTTACGAACTAGTTTGCCTTTCGATCTGGTAACGGATGTAACGATGGCATATGCCATCAAACAACTTTAGGAAATTTCTTACCTCTCCAAAGTAAAATTATATATCTAATATGTCGACCAAATAGCAACAGAAGATCAAATCAATAGAAACCCCCGTCTCGCATCTATTAGGAACCCCCTTCCATGTTCTGAATACATTGAATGTCTTGATCTGACAAGAAATATATCGCTTCATAAAGTAGTAACTGTCTGGAGATGAAGCGAACACAGAAAACTTGAAAAGCTATTTAGAATATGACAAGGAGGCAATGAGAGTCACACCCTTTTTAAATTCTTCCTAGAATATGCACTGTGCATATACAATCACAAATAAGAAAACATAGGCACTCATCACTTAAACATTCCATGCGAATGAATCTACGAATAGGAATAAGCGTGACCCATGTACGGCAGGGAGCCATGTCGGCGACATGGACATTCACATTTGAGTTAAGAATGATATTAATATTGAACAAAAAGAGCAGAAACCTAAAATGAAAGAGGCGATGGCGCGTGCCCCGAGTCCATCATAAGAAACAGAAATGTGAAATTAGTAAATACTAGACACTTTAAAAAATCTGTGTATGTATCAGTCACAACAAATTTAATATTGGAGATAAAGAAATTAGATTTAAGGCCTCATCATGTTGAAACACCCGTTCCCATACGATTAATGAAGTCAAGCAATGTCGTCAGCTTATTACCGAGATGGATGACCGCTTTGAAAAAACAGATGCTGTAAATTTGAATGTGCGGATGTATAATGTATAATGGCTCAGCATTTTTAATCAGAGAGCCGAGATACAATTCCAGTTGGGTTTGATATATTCATTCACGCCCAAATACCCATTAGGAAGGTATGAACCATCTTTTCTCCCCCAGAGCTAAGGTTTAATTAAGAAAGTTTTTATCACAAAAAATCATTATTATCCTGGCTTTAAATAACCTGCAAATTGTTGACAAGTCGTTGAAAACGAATCGATCTTTCAAGATAAAGAAAATGAAAATAAGCCAAGATAGTTTTGCCCGAAAACGCAAGGTGTTACGAGCCAAAAACTTAACCTACAAATCTGTCTATATATATATATATATATATATATATATATATATATATATATATATATATAAAAATTAATTAATTTTCATTGTTGGAAGTGTTTACCTGATGACCGGAAATCCTTCAAAAAGGATTTTGGTGAAATAAATTATTGTAATGGTACCTTTAAAGTGGTCTGTTTTTCATTAATTATATATATATATATATATATATATATATATATATATATATATATATATATATATAACATCATTGCAAAATTCGTAAACGTAAGGAATCAGCACATATGCTAGGCCACAAAAATTCTCCTGAGCCGATCAAGCATAGATATGAACACAATATGGGAACCAGTAATAAGGAGTGCAAGAGAAAAACGATAATAACAACAAAAAATTGAAATATGAGCTCTGGTAAAAAACATGCAATGATAACAGCAAAAGATTGCATTATGAGCTCTGGTAAAAAAAAGGTTGCTGTAGACATTAGCTTTATAATACCCAGAAATTCATACACAGATTTCCTCAAGGACACATGTCACAGTGGATAAAGTAGTTAGTTAGATCCAGTGACAGGACTCAAAGAGTGTTTGTTCAATACCAGGTTAAGTCGGAGGAGAACTTTGAGAGGGGAATTAACAGGAGATAACTGACATCCATTAGACGTGGAACTAGAACAGTCTACCCCAGTGAGCGAAATAAAGGGTTCAGTTTGACATTCCGACCACCTGAAGAAGACCGGAGCGTACAAAGACCGAAACATTGTGATAAACATGGCGACAAAGATGAGGACAATAGTCCGAATAATGTAAAGAGTTAACCTAGAAACTAGGCTCATTCTTAAATAGTCTTGTCAGATTAAGCTTTTCATATGAATGTTATGATTACCGGCAAATATGCTCAGAAATTTCTAAACTATTTGCAACCGTTGTTTTTTTTCCAGATCGATAACTAAAAATGGCTTAGATCGAGTAAAATATGCAGGTACTATATGCTTCTTCGAACCTCGTTGAGTGTCGTTATAGAATCAGAAACAATTAACGGTATATTGTAACAGAAATAAAACCCTTGAGTACTTTTAATAACATCAGCAACTAAAATGGCTATAACATTTAAGTCGGAGAAAAAGAATGGAAAGGTTGAGGTTTTTATACTACCTGAAAGAAAAGGGTAAGAATGAAGAATGATGTTAAGGACATTAACATCTACTGAATAGAGGAATTCTATTTAACACTTTTCAGAGAAAGATTGTATAGATTTTAACAGGCAACTGTGATTACTTGGTTAATTAAGGTTAATTTTTTCCTTGTAACAAAAAAGGTATTACTATTAGAATTAACATTAAATTTATAACGGAAAAATGCTATGAAGTATATCAAAATAACTTCTGCGAATAAATCCCCATTGAAAGCGCACAAATGATAATAAAAGCGATAATATAATTGTTGTGGATTCCGGGATGTAATCCGGTCTCAAATGAATGACAAACGCAGGAATGAAATATAGCAAATAAATGTATTGACGTAATAATACAATTGTTAATACGGTTAGTAGATCCAGAAATGCGGTTAGTAGCAATAATAATAATAATAATATATATATATATATATATATATATATATATATATATACGGTCTGGGAAATTCAGTATCGAAGTATGACTTCCTTCTGAGTCTACGTGCTCGCAACTGTGACTCCTACAAAGCGGTTACCTCACACTCGACTCTTCCGGTTAACTACAACCCTTCACTGTTAGTCTCACTCTCTCACTCCCGGTTATTCAACGGCAGCAGTACAAGTACACACTGGGCGAGTCCACTTGTATAAAAAGGGGTGGACCCCTTAACAATAATCAGCCAGGAAACACTACAAAATATAACTACACATGTCATTTCCATATGACAGGGTATCCGAATGATAATAAAACAAATATACTAAAATATTTACTCAGAATAATTATTAACTGTTCACTATTACATATAACATCAGTAAATATATAATATGAATTTAGTAACAGCAGAACAATATACAGCGTGACAATAAAGTCACTATGCATTTACTTATAATAAAAAAAGCAAAGCATTGAAGCAGGTAGTTTCCAGTTCAAACAGTATTGTTTACAATAGTATTTTATTGTTATTAATTAGAATCAACCAGAACCATTTTAATCATAGTTTTCTGGGCTGTTGATTACTTGCTTTGTCTTAATTGTTATTGTAAGTAACTGCATAGCGAATTTATTGCCACCCTTTCTTTCTCTTTCTCTCTATTTTTCTCGGTGTCTGTCTCTCTATCTGTCTGTCTGTCTGTCTCTCTCTCTCTCTCTCTCTCTCTCTCTCTCTCTCTCTCTCTACATATGTGTGTGCGTGTGTGTGTGTGGAAGAGGAATAAAATTGTTTTATAAAATAAACGTCTTGATTTTCATAACCGAACATTTTTCTGTGTCTCTCTCTCTCTCTCTCTCCATATTTTATATATATATATATATATATATATATATATATATATATATATATATATATATATATATATTCTGTTCGCTTGATTACCAGACACAGTGTGCAAATAGTTTCGTCAAAACTGTAAGAAGATTAAATTGAAAGATAAATAGATTCGATTTTTGAATGTCAAAACAATGTATCTTTTCATCAATAAAACAAATGTTACTGTATGGTTATTTAATAACGTGGGAGCCACTCCATTCTTTTTGCCTCCGTCTAGCTTAATAAACTTTTCTTTGTTAGACATTTAATATATTGTTTTTACTTAGAACAATATTATTGAGTTTGACTGGATGACTTGTATTCTCAACCGCATATGTTTTCATGGAAAAATATGATCCACTGACGAAAAGCATTTCAGAAAATTGAAACCAAAGTAGCCAATCATGTTAACTGTTGTTCGTCTACATAAATATTTGAATATTTGTTTCACTTGTTTTCACAATAAAATCCTGACAGGTCTCTTCAAAACAGAAAGGCAGTACCAGTATATGAAGGAGAAATTTGTCTCCAACAAATATCACATAGAGTCTGTCTATATTTCTGAGATGAGGTATTATGTACAGTATTTACATTAGTCGGACTATTGTCCTCATCTTTGTCGCCATGTTTATCACAACGTTTCCTCAAGGACGCATGGCACAGTGGATAAAGGCGTTGGTTAGATCCAGTGACAGACCCAAAGAAGCTGAGTTCAATACCTGGTTAAGGCAGTGGAGAACTTTCAGAGGGAAAATTAACAGGAGATAACTGATAACTGACATCCATCAAACATGGCTAGAAACCAGTGATCAAAATAAAGGGTTCAGTTCGAAATTCCAACCACCTGAAGAAGGTCGGAGCGTACAACGGCCGAAACGTTGTGACAAATATGGCGACAAAGATGAGGACAATAGTCCGACTAACGTAAATACTGTAAATATGACATAGTCATTCCAAAAATTCTACTGTAAGCCAGGGATACAGTTACCAGATTTTTGTATTATATGTGTTGGTAAATTTGCATAGGATATATATATATATATATATATATATATATATATATATATATATATATATGTTTAAATATATATATATATGCACACACACGCAAACACGCACATGTCTCTCTCTCTCTCTCTCTCTCTCTTTCTCTTTATATATATATATATATATATATATATATATATATATATATATATATATATATATATATATATATATATATATATGACGATTATAATAATAATAACTGGCAACTTATATTCGAGGATACCTGTCTATTAGGGCGGCTAGCCAATCCCTATTGTAGACTCTCGTTCAGGCACATTTGTGTTTGTTCAGCACCCCAGAGTGAACCTGTGGTTTATACTGCAAATATGCTGAGCAGAAATTAGTTACAGTTTCTCGAAGAGAATGTGTTATATAGCATGATCAACAATATACATGTGGTCGCTTCTTTTGTGTTCTATATGAAAGTAGAAAAGTAAGAAATTCTCTCTCTCTCTCTCTCTCTCTCTCTCTATATATATATATATATATATATATATATATATATATATATATATATATATACGCTTTCACACACACAGATACATACAAAATACATATGCATATCCGTCGTTAATTTCAGCCCTTGACAAACTTTCTGACCAGAGGTGCCGTCTATGCTGCCGCCATGTTTACACTGTAACAACAGCAAGAAAATTGGCGTAATGAAGCTTAACTTTCGATCGTGTGACCACTTTAGCATTACCTATAAGAGCGCGTGGGCAGAAGACTGTGTGACAAATCTAAAGATCTATCATGGCGAAAGTGCGGATAGAGGACCCTCGCTGCCCACCATCAGAATGGCTGATGCCCATCTCTACCAGAGCGCTTTACTGCCTCTGCTTTGTCTCCCGCAGCCCACTGATACGAAGTGTAGCAAATACATTGAATCTACAGCCTATTCTATCGCAAGGAAAGTTGGTTATCTGTGTCGCGCCAGAAAGTTTTTCTCACCTGTGTATCCATCAAATCTCAAATCAGCGATTCGTCTTGCACGAAATTCTGCTATCATATATGATCTGGAGCCCCCCTCTTCGTCTCGAAGTCCTCGACAAAATACAGAGACGGATATACAATGTGATGGGTCCTGATATGGCATCTCGTCTACAATTACTTTCTCACGGACGTGCTGTGGCTTACACCTGTCTTTTCTACATGTATTTTCACGGCAAATTTTCCGCCGGGCTACATTCACTTGTTCCCAAACTGCATGAATTTAAGCGTGATATTTGTTTGGCATATCGGTGCCATCGTTTTACTATCGAAACAGTTAAATGTAGCCGCCTCTTCTACTCCAGCAGCTTCTTCTCTCACACTTCCTGACAGTGGAACTCCCTTCCTCTTACTTGCCTGCCTGATAGCTATAATCTTCAAATAATCAAATGTAATGTCAATTGACATCTTCTGATGCCTTGATCTTCGTCACCGTCCTTCTCTCTATCTATTCCTCAAACACCCATCTTGACTCTTACTTTGTTTCGCTGTAGCCCCTTGCGTGATACTGGCATTGCCACATTGCTTGGTGTGAAATGCTTAGAAAAAGCATTAAAAATAAATGTTTGACTTACCCTCCTATATATGAATTGAGATCAAATATGAATTGGAAACCGATAGAAAGATAAGATAAGAAACAAACAGGAAATGTTTATAAATCTAAAATGTCATATTTTTGTTAAAGTTTCATCAAAAAATGAAATATGGGCGAGTAAAATAAAATTCTGCTGTTATTTATTTTTTGCGTTATTTGTTTTTTATTCGCTAAGCAAAACTCACGTGGTTCTGCCTTTTTATGACATATGCGTCTATACAATTCATGTGTGTATGTATATCATAATTCTACTTTGTTTACGTGGGAGTCAGAAATAAAATATAATATGTGTGTCTGTGTGTTTGTGTATTTATCAATGCTTGTTGGTTGCCTACATGTTGATATGCTGACATTTGGTGTGAGTGTAAAAGAATTTCAGTTACATTCATTGTTGTTGCATTTAGACATATCCTAGAATTCTTGAATATGGATTTTACTACATTTGATGATATAATAAACAGTAATTGATAAATAATTTATCAGAACTCGGAGTATTTTTCTTGTGTGGCATTTATAAAATCGAAGTTATGGCCGGTTTTGTTTCTGTTTTGTTAAGACTGAGTTTAAAAAGTGAAATCACATTGATTTGGAAATATTTACAAAAATCAAATCCTTGTCTGATTTTAATGAAACTTCCTGGAGTTGTTCACAAATGATTGTAATTATTTCACAAATCCTTTCTTTTTTTAGAAAATCTTTATAAAAAAACTTTTTTTTTTACATATGTTACTTTCTAACTATTTAATTTTATAAAATTTAGAGATATTTATTTTGTTCGGCTTAATGTTTATATTAGTTATAAGCAGAACTCTTTGTATCATTTAAATTAGATACTTTTTCTAAAATAAGAGACTCAGTTATGAATAATATACACTGAATCGTAATATAAAAATAACTTAAAACTAAAACATTATTTAATGAGAAAAGCTGTTAATTATTTTCATGAATACGACATATTAAGCACATTATTGTCTTAAGAAAACTTTTTTTTTTGATGGAGAATGAATATGTACGAGAATTGTTTTGTTTTTCTAAATATTAAATAGAATACTTTATAAATCTTTTAAAACTCTTTATTAATTAGTACGGCTTTGTATTGTTATGAAATAAAAACAATATTAATCACAATCTGAAAATCTTTGTAGAATTCTGCGACCCCGAGTATTTTAAAAATAATTTTTGACGTTTTTCGTGTGTCGATTTGTGTACATAGCGACGTCAAAACACATTAACCGAAAATAAGTATGGTAACGATAGTAAATTTAAAGCTAAAATTCAATAAACCATTAGATAATGGGGATTATTTTCTTTAATTTTTGCGATGAGTGGGTTGTTGAAAACAATACATAAATAGTCCTTAGGTTATATTGGGTAAGTAATTTTGGCAGATATGTCCCACATAGAAAAACTACTTAAATTCCCGGCATTTAGTCAGTCAATACATCTGTCAATACCTAATAAAACGTCTCCCTCTATGATAAAAAATGAATTCCTGTGATATTTTAAAATAATGGTAAATAATAAGCGTTTCAAGTCTGATTATTGAAACGTTAATTCAGCTAATATTCCCTCAATAAAGTTTTAAATCAGTATATTATATTTTGACTGATTTTTAATAAAGAGAATTGCATTGTGCTAACAGATGGCTAAAAATAGCAAAAATCAGTGATTTTTAGTGATGTAAAAATAAAAGTCCCTCCAGTCAATTTCAATTAGTTTTGCAATAAAGCAAAGTATTTTGATTATTGGAAATATTACATTTAATCTCCTAGATTGAAATTAAAACTAGAAGAAAAGCTTCTGAAAAAAAAGATTTTTCATTTTTTAAAAAATTAATTTTAATCCTTAGGTATAGTGTTTATTTAGAGGTGCCATATGCATATATATATATATATATATATATATATATATATATATATATATATATATATATATATATATATATATATAGGTAGGTAGATGCCACTTGATTATTTATATTTCAATCCTGTTTTACAATAGATATAAATATATTCATATTTTTAGTATCTGCGGATCACTCCATAAATATAGACGCAAATATACTAATGTATGAAAATGTAAGTAAGTGTTACAATTACTTATTTATAGTTTAATCATATATATATATATATATATATATATATATATATATATATATATATATATATATATATATATATGTACACGTGTTTGTTTTACGTTGAAGCATATATTAAATTAGATCAGGCTGACACGCCACA